TGAGAAGTTCTTCGATCTATCCAAGCCTTTCGGTCCTTTTGGGGAACCCCTCTGCTCAGCCTGGTAGGATCCTCAATTAAATTTGGGCTTCTCCTACTTGCTGCTATTGGGGTAGAAGCTTAGTCCCCACAAGGAAGGAGACTGCGATCTACCATACTGCCCTCTTTCCTATCTGCATTATTTGCTTCTCGGCCTTTTGGCCATGATCAAGTTTGGTTTATCTGTGAATAAACTTCACTACAATTGAAACACTTTAGACCTTTCAGACTGAAGGCATCTATGTGGAAGAGAGCTCTGCATTGATTAAAGAAGGGGAAATGTGTCGGGGGACATTACAGATGATCATTGCTGACCACTGCATCACCCGCCATAACAGCAACAACCCTTTTAAATCTGTTCTCTGTTTTTTGAATGAAAAGGGTTGTTCTTATGTAGATCTCTGTAAACAAGTCTGGAAAGGAAGAAGGAAGGTTCTAGGATGAGGCTTATCACAAACAGGCATCTAACACAAAAAATACGATGACTAGCATGGAGTAGTTTAGCGTAGTGTAGTTTAGTGTAGGTCCTGCCCTAAAAGAGTCTACCTTGTCGTGGTGGGCAGGCTTGTCATCTTATGGTTAAAAATGTCAAAATTGGAGAAAGAATCCATTGTCTCTGGGCAGTTTCATTTTTGACCATGGGATTCAACTAAAAGACTTACAGACAGTAATTTGTACAAAACATTTTAACGTGGCTTTGTATGTTGCAGCATTTTTAATGTTGCACGTTTATTCCTTCTCTTTAATGCCGGCAACATTTCTCTGATCTAATGTTTAACCATTTCCCTCCCAGCCTATGTCCGAATGGCAGTCGGCAAAAACCCTTACCTTTCCGGGTGGATGCCATATGGCGTCCTTTCGGCCATGCTCAGTTTGCGCAGCGGCTTGATCTCTCACTGGCCATGTACCTCGGACACGGCCGATGACAGATCTGAGTACCGGCCCCATTGCTGGTACCATGTGACCTGCTGTGACCAATCACAGCAAGTCACATTACAGTTGTATACAATGGATGGCTTCATTCATGCCATCCATTGTATACTAGTGCGTCTAGCTTTGAATGGTCACAGCGATCACATGCACAAGGTGGGCCAATCACAGCCCAGCTGTCATGTGATTAGCCGTGGCCAAATCACAGCTAAGCGTTAAAAAAAAAAAACCTGAATGAATCGATGTCATTCACGTAAATGGTTGCTTATAGCAAAGTTATTCTGTACTATAAGCAAATTGTGTAAAAAAAAAAAATACTGATCACTTTCCCAAAGTAGTACAATGTTACTATGGTAACATTGTACTACTTTGGTAATAGTGAAATCTGAAAAAAAATCTGAAAAAAAGTAAAAAATTTAATAAAAAATTAAAAATAATAAAATTAAAAAAAATTTAAAAATTATATATATTTTTTTTTCATACTGTCACCAGTCAGTGCCCCTGATCACCGCCATGCCAGATATATGATAATGCTGTACTGCACTGCTGACAGTATGTAAAAAAAAATAGTGAAAATAATTTTTTACATTTTTTTTCATTTTTCGAAAAATTGACAAAAAAATACAACTTCAAAAAACTCGCAATGCCTCTTATGAAATACGTCGGACTGTCTACTTTGCAAAAAGGGGTCATTTGGGGGATATCTGTACTGTCTGACATTCTTGGACCTCAAGAAAAATTAGATTGGCTGTCAGTACTTCAGGATTGATCAATATTCAGATCTATACCATAGTTTGTGAACTCTATAACTTTCCTACAAACTAAATAACACATCCTAATTTGGGTTATTTTCACCAAAGACATGTAGTAGAATACATCTCGGCCTAAATTCATGAAGAACAATTATTTATTTGCAAACTTTTATAACAGAAACAAAGAAAAACATTTTTTTTTCAAAATTTTCGGTATTTTTTTGTTAATTTAGCAATAAATGAAAACCCCAGCGGTGATTAAATCCCACCAAAAGAAAGCTCTAGTTGTGTGAAGAAAATGATAAAATTTTAGTTTGGGTACAATGTTGTATTACCGCGCAATCATCATTCAAAGTGTGAGAGCGCTGAAACCTGAAAATTGGCCTGGGCAGGAAGGGGGTAAAAGTGCCCGGTATGGAAGTGGTTAATGCAACAGTCAGAGCCTATAAAGTGGAGCTCCCACTTGACAGGTAACATGTGACCTCCAAAATGGAGCTCCATTCTGCAGCCAGACCCCTCTTGTTCCTATAAAAATATATACAGGAAACATGTGACATGTGACATCCACTTCGTTGAGCTGTGTCTATTGGTTGTTAAAGTTCATTAATTTAAAAAAAAAAAAAAAGTGGAATGGACCTCCACTAAAGATAGAGCGGAGGCCACATGTTCCTGCCCAGATTGGAGCTCCATTCTTCAGCCAGCCCCCCCCTCCACTCCGCTCCGTGCATGCAGCTTCTCCAAGCAGTGTCGGTCTCTTAGCAACCGAGCTAAGCTCTAGGTTGCTACCTGTGTGCTCCTTAGCCCCGCCCCTTTATGACGTCATCGGAGGGAGGAGTCTATACTGAGCGGGGGCTCTGCTCAGAAAGCAGCAACACTCCGGAGAGTACAGAGACGTGTGGTAGGTGTGCGGAGTGACAGAGCGCCATCTGTCATCGGGAGGGGAACAATCGGCAGCCAATGTAGAAGAAATGTTTGTGTGATATGAAGAGTGCGGGGGAGGGGCGGACTACAATCCATTCAATGCGGCCTCTACAGGGCTCGGAGAATCCGTCCAATCATCTCTGAGCGAGGCTGGGGAGGGCACATGAAATAAAGGGGCACTCTGATGAGGAAAGTCCGTGTAAGGGGGAATGATGGGAACACTACATGTAAGGGGGCACTCCGATAGGATCTGTCAATGTAAGGGGGCACTCCGGTGGGATCTATCAATGTAAGGGGGCACCGGTGGGGATCTGTCCGTGTAAGGGGGCACTCCGATGGGATCTGTCCGTGTAAGGGGGCACTCCGATGGGATCTGTCCGTGTAAGGGGGCACTCCGATGGGATCTGTCCGTGTAAGGGGGCACTCCGATGGGATCTGTCCGTGTAAGGGGGCACTCCGATGGGATCTGTCCGTGTAAGGGGGCACTCCGATGGGATCTGTCCGTGTAAGAGGGCACTCCGATGGGATCTGTCCGTGTAAGGGGGCACTCCGATGGGATCTGTCCGTGTAAGGGGGCATCTCTTCGATAAGGGGGATCTGTCCGTGTAAGGGGGCACTCCGATGGGATCTATCAATGTAAGGGGGCACTCCGATGGGATCTATCAATGTAAGGGGGCACTCCGATGGGATCTATCAATGTAAGGGGGCACTCCGATGGGATCTATCAATGTAAGGGGGCACTCCGATGGGATCTGTCCGTGTAAGGGGGCACTCCGATGGGATCTGTCCGTGTAAGGGGGCACTCCGATGGGATCTGTCAATGTAAGGGGGCACTCCGATGGGATCTGTCAATGTAAGGGGGCACTCCGGTGGGATCTGTCCGTTTAAGGGGGCACTCCGGTGGGATCTGTCCGTGTAAGGGGGCACTCCGATAAGGGGGATCTATCAATGTAAGGGGGCACTCCGATGGGATCTATCAATGTAAGGGGGCACTCCGATGGGATCTATCAATGTAAGGGGGCACTCCGGTGGGATCTTCCGTGTAAGGGGGCACTCCAATGGGATCTGTCCGTGTAAGGGGGCACTCCGATGAGATCTATCAATGTAAGGGGGCACTCCGATGGGATCTATCAATGTAAGGGGGCACTCCGATGGGATCTATCAATGTAAGGGGGCACAGTCCGGTGGGATCTGTCCGTGTAAGGGGGCACTCCGATGGGATCTGTCCGTGTAAGGGGGCACTCCGATGGGATCTGTCCGTGTAAGGGGGCACTCCGATGAGATCTATCAATGTAAGGGGGCACTCCGATGGGATCTATCAATGTAAGGGGGCACTCCGATGGGATCTATCAATGTAAGGTGGCAGTCCGGTGGGATCTGTCCGTGTAAGGGGGCACTCCGATGGGAACTGTCCGTGTAAGGGGGGGGGCACTCCGATGGGATCTGTCCGTGTAAGGGGGCACTCCGATGGGATCTGTCCGTGTAAGGGGGCACTCCGATGGGATCTGTCCGTGTAAGGGGGCACTCCGATGGGATCTCTGTCAATGTAAGGGGGCACTCCGATGGGATCTATCAATGTAAGGGGGCACTCCGATGGGATCTATCAATGTAAGGGGGCACTCCGGTGGGATCTGTCCGTGTAAGGGGGCACTCCGGTGGGATCTGTCCGTGTACAGGGGCACTCCGATGGGATCTGACCGTGTAAGGGGGCTCCGATGGGATCTGTTCGTGTAAGGGGGCACTCCGATGGGATCTGTCCATGTAAGGGGGCACTCCGATGGGATCTGTCCATGTAAGGGGGCACTCCGATGAGATCTGTCAATGTAAGGGGGCACTCCGATGGGATCTGTCCGTTTAAGGGGGCACTCCGGTGGGATCTGTCTGTGTAAGGGGGCACTCCGATGGGATCTATCAATGTAAGGGGGGCACTCCGATGGGATCTATCAATGTAAGGGGGCACTCCGATGGGATCTATCAATGTAAGGGGGCACTCCGGTGGGATCTGTCCGTGTAAGGGGGCACTCCGATGGGATCTGTGTGTAAGGGGGCACTCCGATGGGGATCTGTCCGTGTAAGGGGACACTCCGATGGGATCTGTCCGTGTAAGGGGGCACTCCTCCGATGGGATCTGTCCGTGTAAGGGGGCACTCCGATGGGATCTGTCCGTGTAAGGGGGCACTCCGATGGGATCTATCAATGTAAGGGGGCACTCCGATGGGATCTATCAATGTAAGGGGGCACTCCGGTGGGATCTATCCGTGTAGGGGGGCACTCCGATGGGATCTGTCCGTTTAAGGGGGCACTCTGATAAGAACAATGCATGTAAGGGGGCACTACGATTGGAACAGTCCATATAAGGGAACACTCTGATGGGAACAGTCCATGTAAGGGGGCACTCCAATGGGGGAACAGTCCATGTACGGGACACTCTAATTGGAATAGTCCATGTATGGGAGCACACTCCGATGGGAACACTGTATGTAAGGGGGCACCCTGGTGGGAACACTGCATGTAAGGGGGCACTCTGATGGGAACAGTCCATGTAAGGGGACACTCTGATGGGAACACTGCATGTAAGGGGGCACTCTGATGGGAACAATTCATGTAAGGGGGCACTCCGATGGGAACAATCCATGTAAATGGGCACTCCGATGGCAATAGTCCATGTAAGGGGGCACTCTGGTGGGAACAGTCTATGTAAAGGAGCACTCCGATGGGAACAGTCTATGTAATGTGGCACTCCGATGAGGACGTCCATGTAATGGAGCTCTCCGATGGGAACACTGCATGTAAAGGGGTCCTGCAATAGGACCAGTCCATGTAATGGGGGCACTCCGATGGGATTTGTCCATGTAAGGGGGCACTCTGATGGGAACAATTAATGTAAGGGTGTACTCTGATGGGAACAGTCCATGTAAGGGTGCACTCTGATGGGAACAGTCCATGTAAGGGGGCACTCTGATGGGAACAGTCCATATAAGGGAACACTCTGATGGGAACAGTCCATATAGGGGGGCACAGTCCATATAAGGGGGCACCAGCAATGGGAAAGTCCATGTACGGGGCACTCTAATTGGAATAGTCCATGTAAGGGAGCACTCCGATGGGAACACTGCATGTAAGGGGGCACCCTGATGGGAACAGTCCATGTAAGAAAACACTCTGATGGGATCAGTGCATGTAAGGGGGCACTCTGATGGGAACAGTTCATGTAAGGGTGTACTCCGATGGAAACAGTTCATGTAAGGGGGCACTCCGATGGGAACAATCCATGTAAATGGGCACTCCGATGGCAATAGTCCATGTAAGGGGGCACTCTGTTGGGAACAGTCCATGTAATGGGGGCACTCCGATGGGATCTGTCCGTGTAAGGGGGGGCACTCCGATGGGATCTGTCCGTATAAGGGGGCACTCCGATGGGATCTGTCCGTGTAAGGGGGCATTCCGATGGGATCTGTCCGTGTAAGGGGGCACTCTGATGGGATCTGTCCGTGTTAGGGGGCACTCCGATGGGATCTGTCCGTGTAAGGGGGCACTCCGATGGGATCTGACCATGTAAGGGGGCACTCCGATGGGATCTGTCCATGTAAGGGGGCACTCCGATGGAAACAGTCTATGTAAGGGGGCACTCCGATGAGGACGTCCATGTAAGGGAGCTCTCCGATGGGAACACTGTATGTAAAGGGGTCCTGCAATAGGACCAGTCCATGTAATGGGGGCACTCCGATGGGATCTCTGTCCATGTAAGGGGGCACTCTGATGGGAACAATTAATGTAAGGGTGTACTCTGTAGCTTTGTGTAGGTGTGGCTTGAGTGTGGGTGGGGACACATGGGGCCCCATGATCTCCTATTGCCCAGGGGCCCCATGAGTTGTCAGTCCGCCCCTTACTGTGACCTTGTGACATGAGCTTTAGGGTTGTGTTGTAATATGTCAGGTGTGAGTCTCTTCACTGCTGCCTGTGTGGATTACACAAGTGTGATGACTGTATAAGGGGGAAGAAGGTACATTTTTCCAGAACAAGTATGTTTGAGATTTTATAAAGGGTAGAATGTGTGACGGGCTAAAAGAGAATCCATCTGCATGGCACAGACATGTCGCTGATTAGTGACAATGCAGTCTTGCAATGTCACAAGGGTAACTCTGCTGGTGGTGAGTTGTCATCTTCATCATCCACTGTGACCTTGTGACATGAGCTTTAGAGTTGTTGTAATATGTCAGGTGTGGGACTCTTCGCTGCTGCCTGTGCGGAATACATGAGCGTGACAACTGTATAAGGGGGAAGAAGGTATACTCCTTTATAGCGGGCCTTCAGCAGGACCTGTTAACCTGAAACACCAACGTTCGCGATGATTATGAGTTCAATTTATATATATATGTGTTTTTTTCCAGAACAAGTATGTTTGAGATTTTATAAAAGGTAGAATGTGTGACGGGCTAAAAGAGAATCCATCTGCATGGCACAGACATGTCGCTGATTAGTGACAATGCAGTCTTGCAATGTCACACAAGGGCGACTCTGCTGGTAATTATGGAAGAGAGAGCTCTGCATTGATTAAAGAAGGGGAAATGTGTCGGGACATTACAGATGATCATTGCTGACCACTGCATCACCCGCCATAAGATAACAGCAACAACCCTTTTAAATCTGTTCTCTGTTTTTTGAATGAAAAGGGTTGTTCTTATGTAGATCTCTGTAAACAAGTCTGGAAAGGAAGAAGGAAGGTTCTAGGATGAGGCTTATCACAAACAGGCATCTAACACAAAAAATACGATGACTAGCATGGAGTAGTTTTAGCGTAGTGTAGTTTAGTGTAGGTCCTGCCCTAAAGAGAGTCTACCTTGTCGTGGTGGGCAGGCTTGTCATCTTATGGTTAAAAATGTCAAAATTGGAGAAAGAATCCATTGTCTCTGGGCAGTTTCATTTTTGACCATGGGATTCAACTAAAAGACTCTAAGATTTCACTTAGGCAGAGCAGAAAAAAATAGTTATATGTCTATATTTATAGAAAAAAGATACAGACAGTAATCTGTACAAAACATTTTAAAGTGGCTTTGTATGTTGTCAGAATTTTTAATGTTACACGTTTATTCCTTCTTTTTTATGTCGGCAACATTTCTCTGAATGTAATGTTTAACCACTTCAAGTCCGGACACTTTTACCCCCTTCCTGTCCAGGCCAATTTTCAGCTTTCAGAGGTCCCGTACGACGATCAGTGTTCCACTGTGTACAGAGGACACAACGGGCACTGGATTGCACTGCTGTGCGCTCCAAGGGAGCGCGCACAAGCAGGGGGCGGGAAGGCCATTTATAAACGGCCACCTGACCCTGCACTTTCACCGTCCGGTCATTTATATACAACCGGACGGGAGGTGGTTAATAAATCCTAGCGCTTCATTTAAAGAGTAACTCCACTTTTACGGGGGGAAATACAAATGACACCTACAATTCCTACACAAATCACATTATCTTTCATTGTTATTAACAAGCAACTTCCCTTCCTAATCTACAGGGGCCCTCCAGGAGGTGTCATTTCCTGCTGTGTAACTGGTAGGCTGATATTCCCACAAGTTGGCACTGACATCAGTCAGATGATGGGCGTCCCCTCCAACAACCATCATCTCTACAGGTTTGCAGACCCTACCACTTTCTCCACAGGTACCCCGCAGGAGCAGCCGCCGCCGATCGATCACTGCAAAAGTCGTTCCCGTGTATTTGGTTCAAGAACACACGTGGATCTATCTGCACAATAACAAAAGGTAAGAATCTCCAAACCTTTCACAACCATAAAAATATACATTAATCACCCAGAGGGGAGTGTTGTCCTCTCTCAACAAAAGTGGAGTTACTCTTTAAAGCAATACAGGACTGAAGATCATTTCTGAATGATTGTCAGCTCTTGTGCCCAGACTTTACATTCCTGCATTAGCACTTCTTGGTCTTTTTGATCAAATTTTGCTGCGTCGTTAGCCTGAGGGGTTTCCCTGCTGTCCAGCTACTTCGTTGAGAAGTTCTTCGATCTATCCAAGCCTTTTGGTGCTTGTGCGGTACCCTCTGCTCGGCTTGGTAGGATCGTCAATTAAATTTGGCTTCACCTACTTGCTGCTATTGGGTTAGAGGCTTAGTCCCCACAAGGAACGAGACTGATCTACTCTACTGTGATCTACTCTACTGTACTCTTTCCTTTCTGATTTATTGCTTCTCGGCCTTTTGGCCATGATCAAGTTTGTTATCCACCTAGGCCCTTAGGGGTGTCCCTGCTGTTCAGCTGCGTCGTTGAGAAGTTCTTTGCCTATCCAAGCCTTTTGGTCCTTGTGGGGTACCCTCTGCTCGGCCTGGTAGGATCGTCAATTAATTTTTGGCTTCACCTTCTTGCTGGTTATTGGGTTAGAGGCTTAGTCCCCGCAAGCAACGAGACTGCGATCTACCCTACTTCCTCTACCCTATTGCTTCCGGCCTTTTCTTTCAAGTTTGTATCGACCTATTATTGCTTCTCGGCCTTTTGGCCATGATCAAGTTTAGTATCGACCTAGGCCCTTAGGGGTGTCCCTGCTGTTCAGCTGCGTCGTTGAGAAGTTCTTTGCTCTATCCAAGCCTTTTGGTCCTTGTGGGATACCCTCTGCTCGGCCTGGTAGGATCGTCAATTAAATTTGGCTTCACCTTCTTACTGCTATTGGGTCAGAGGCTTAGTCCCCACAAGGAACGAGCCTGCGATCTACCCTCTTTCCTTTCTGTATTATTGCTTCTCGGCCTTTTGGCCATGATCAAGTTTGGTATCGACCTAGGCCCTTAGGGGTGTCCCGGCTGTTCAGCTGCGTCGTTGAGAGTTCTTCTTCTTCGATCTATCCAAGCCTTTTGGTCCTTGTGGGGTACCCTCTGCTCGGCCTGGTAGGATCGTCAATTAAATTTGGCTTCACACCTACTTGCTGCTATTGGGTTAGAGGCTTAGTCCCCCCCACAAGGAACGAGACTGCGATCTACCCTTACTTTCCTCTTTCCTTTTCATGTATTATTGCTACTCGGCCTTTTGGCCATGATCAAGTTTAGTATCGACCTAGGCCCTTAGGGGTGTCCCTGCTGTTCAGCTGCGTCGTTGAGAAGTTCTTTGCTCTATCCAAGCCTTTTGGTCCTTGTGGGATACCCTCTGCTCGGCCTGGTAGGATCGTCAATTAAATTTGGCTTCACCTTCTTACTGCTATTGGGTCAGAGGCTTAGTCCCCACAAGGAACGAGACTGCGATCTACCCTCTTTCCTTTCTGTATTATTGCTTCTCGGCCTTTTGGCCATGATCAAGTTTGGTATCGACCTAGGCCCTTAGGGGTGTCCCGGCTGTCCAGCTGCGTCGTTGAGAAGTTCTTCGATCTATCCAAGCCTTTTGGTCCTTGTGGGGTACCCCCTCTGCTCGGCCTGGTAGGATCGTCAATTAAATTTGGCTTCACCTTCTTGCTGCTATTGGGTTAGAGGCTTAGTCCCCACAAGGAACGAGACTGCGAACGAGACTGCGTATTCTCTCCCCCTCTTTCCTTTCTGTATTATTGCTGTTTCTCGGTCCTTCTCGGCCTTTTGGCCATGATCAAGTTTGGTATCGACCTAGGCCCTTAGGGGTGTCCCTGCTGTTCAGCTGCGTCGTTGAGAAGTTCTTTGCTCTATCCAAGCCTTTTGGTCCTTGGGGATACCCTCTGCTCGGCCTGGTAGGATCGTCAATTAAATTTGGCTTCACCTTCTTACTGCTATTGGGTCAGAGGCTTAGTCCCCACAAGGAACGAGACTGCGATCTACCCTCTTTCCTTTCTGTATTATTGCTTCTCGGCCTTTTGGCCATGATCAAGTTTGGTATCGACCTAGGCCCTTAGGGGTGTCCCGGCTGTTCAGCTGCGTCGTTGAGAAGTTCTTCGATCTATCCAAGCCTTTTGGTCCTTGTGGGGTACCCTCTGCTCGGCCTGGTAGGATCGTCAATTAAATTTGGCTTCACCTACTTGCT